TGGTGCAGCAAGCAGAGCAGAACATGTAGGAGTAAAGCTACACAGAGGAAGCCCAGAGGTTTAGAGAGTAGCTGGAGCGAGAAGGGGTTTTGGTGACTAGGGTTTTAGAAGAGCTCTCAGAGGGAGCGAAGCAAGATAGAGCAGGGACACAGCTAAGCAAGGAAAGATATGTTGCAGCTGGAGCCCATAGGCTTTCCCACGGAATCTGTCCCACCAAAGGTGCCCTTTGATTAGGGCCAGCTGTGAGCTCTTAGCAGCTACCACTCACCATGGAGGGGGCGGGGTGGACGACAGGGGATGATGCCAGATAAAGGAGACCTGGGAGGGCTCCGACACAGTGTACACTCCAGCAGCGTCCTCTGCTCTGAGGAGTCAAGAAAAGCTTCTTTGAAGCGGGGCTGTTAAACTCTAGTGTGCTAGGAGACCTGGGTGTGGATTTACCTGCAGATCAGGGTTAGAGGGAGGAAGAGCAAGAGTGAAGACCGGAGAGTGAGAAAATATCCACCTTGGGAACCTCTCACTGGCTCTGTGAGGCCAGAGCTGGGGCTGGGAAGTGGAGCAGAATTAGATAGTGCCAGGAACGCAAATGGCTAGCTGTCTGGTTCACAGACCTAGCTTTATGCCATAGATGGTGAGAGCTGTTGAGGAGTAAGCATTTCGATGGCAGTGTGCACAGTGAAATATGCAAGACTAGGAGCAAGGAGATCAGTTAGGAGATGAAAACATGACGGCACACATGTATCAAAGACTTACCGCGTGCCATACACTTTTTAGGGTCTTACCATTCTCATTTTGCAGATGAGAAGACTGAGCAGGTAAGTAACTTCCTCATCAAGTTAGTGAGAGCCAAGATTTGGACTCAGGTCTTAAGCTGTGCTCTTAACTTGAAAAAAATTCATGGAGGTGAATTTTGGATTTTAATTCATGACTTAACAGTATTTGTTTTCATTTAAAAATCATGCTTTAGCGCTCACTTTGGAAGCACATGTGCTAAAAAAAAAAAAATCATGCTTTAAAGCATACCTCACTGCACACTTTGGATCTGGGGATCCTGCTCCTCTTGGCTGGCTTGTGGACAGCCAGTGAGGGAGTCTGTCCGGGCGGGTCCTGTGGGAACACGGACTGTGCCGAAGTGGGGCCCCTGGGAAGCTGGCCGTTCTTGCTCTGTGAAGAAAGGGTGTTTCTGTCCTGTGGCCCTGCTGGCCTGCCCTCCTTGGCAGCCACACCTGTTTTGTCCTTCTCTCTGCACCCAGCCAGACGTCTGTCCCAGAGTGACAGCAGCAACTGGAGCCATCCACAGAAGCTCCCTCTTAGGCCTGACAAAGGCGCTCAGAACCTGGTCCAGGCCTGCAGGGGAGGGAGGCTGGGGAGGGGAGGTGGGAGGGATGAGTGCGGCAGACAGCTGTGGGCTGGTGTGTCCAGCTTGGCCCTGCCCCAGAACAGGTGAAGTAAGCGTGAAACTGAGGAGGAGAGTCCCGTGGGTTTTCAAGAGTAAAAGAGAAATGCAGGGACTTCTGAGTAGTGCATCAAGTTACTGCGACTTACCTTAGTGACTGAGGTGGTTGTGAACCCTCCGCTTTCTCAGAAAGGTCCTTGTAAGAAGCGGGGAGAAGGCACAGTTGTTAAAGGGGTTTCCCTGTTCAGCCCAGATGGACAGAATTGTGGAAAAGTGATGCAGAAGACACAAAGGGAAGGGACACCTCAGATGGGACACTGGGTCAATGTTGCACAGCCTAGCCGAGGGTCACCCTGAGGCAACAGAGTCTTTGTAGGAGAAAAAAAAAAATCTTGCCTAGAAGTAGGATCCAGTAGGTTGAAAGGGAGAACCTAGTTTTGAGAGAAGGAAATACAGGGTAAAGCAGTAAAAGTAACAGTTGTAACACCTTATACATGTACATAGCATTCTACAGGGTAAAGCAGTTTTTTTGTCCATTGGATCCTTTCAGACCCCTATAAAGAGGGCACCTTTTCACTGTTCATGTAACAAATATGGTGCTCTGTTAGGGGACAACAACAAAGAAAGAAAGAAGGAAAAGGGAAAAAAATGAGGCTCAAAGGTTATGCAGAACTATCCCAAGGTCTCAGAGCAAGTTTGTTTTAGTTAGGCAGGACCCTACCTCATTTCTGGCTCCCAATTTTTTTCACAACTTTCTCTTTCTGTTGTAACTCTAGGCAGTAAGAACCTTTATTCTGCAAAGGGAAATGTCAGTAGGAACATAGCATACAAGGGACATAAGACTGTCATTCTGTGAGGTCCTCAACAATAGTTGTATCCTCAGTTCCTCATATTCTGGTTAAAGCTAATTGTTCACATAGACACACCATGTGTGCTGGGCTCCGTAGGGCAGTGGAAAAAGGACAGGAATGCAGACGTGGGGCAGATGGCGGGGTGGTAAGACTCTGGCTTCTTCATACCAGCTTTGAGATATAACTCAATGACTTGGAAGATTTGAATGGTTTCAACATCGGTGATGGCCTCTCAGGGTACTGTTGGGCCACTCTAGTAGAACTCAGAGAGCTGATTCAGTGTCAGGAAGCCTTTGAAATGCCATACTCTACCCTCTCTGGGACCCAGAGGATGGCGTCCTGCCAGAGAGCTTTTCCTCCTGGAGTATTTCTTTCTTAGCAGACAGCCTCTGGGAACTGGAGTTCTGTACTCCACGCTTTCCTGCAGTTTGTAAAGAAGTTAGGTGGTGGAGAAACTATCACTCTGTGGGTAAGTTCCCCCCTCACCACAGCCCTAAAAGGTCACTTTGGTTGGAGGAGGGGCTGGGGCTTCTAAAACCAAAACTTTCACTTCACATGTCAGTGATTCTGCACTGTCATACCTGCAGCAAGACTGACCTCCAGGGCTTTCCCAGAAAGGCCAAATCTTTCTTTACACATCCTCTTCTGCCGGCAGGTGGCAGGTAGGTACATTTCTCTGCCAGATGGTTGCTTTGGGAATGGTCTTGCATCCTCTTCTTCTGCACACCCATGTGCTCTTTTCCTCTCCTCCCTGAGCTGACTCACATTTAGAAGTTTAGACAGGGTGAAGGGAAGAGGTGTGCTGCTTTACAGTGAGCAGTGCTTCTCCAGAGTCTCAGTTCTTGTGCACCCTGCTACCTGCCTTCACTCCCTGGGCTGATCCTCAGCCAGGCAGCCCCATTTGGGACAAGAAGGAAGTCCCAAGGGGACAAAGCTGAGAAGTGCCCTTTGGAATGGCTCCCACTTGCCCATTCCCTGGAGGCTGGGCGTGGCTTGCAATGTGGCACGCTCTTCTAGGAATGTGCTCCCCAGCCGGGTTTTCTGGTTGGTTGGGAATGTTCCTGGGCTGGTCTGCACTGGCTCACAGGGGCTCCCTCTGGGCTGGCCCCAGGCCAGCTTCAGGGGCTGATCCTTTAGGACAGGTCAGTGTGGCTGCAGATCTGCCGAAGAATCTGGCAGCTGGGGCCCTGGAGATGAAGTCACTTTGCTTTTGTTTCCTTCACTTGGATGAGTTGTCAGTGGGAGGGAAGAAACTCAGCAAATGGAAAAGCTAAAAGCTTTATACTGAGCCTCTGCCAGGCATTCTGAGAGTCCTCTATTTAGGGGTCTGTGGGCCTGAGCACCTCAGTCTCTCAGTTGCTTGCTGCCTTACTCTATGGGAGATTGGAAGAAAAGCAGAGAGATGACAGATGATTGGCTCGCTACCTCTCTGAACTTCAGTGTTCTCATCCAGAGAGGGATAAAACTCTGTCACATACAACGTGGCTCAGTAGGCTGTAGGGGAAAGTGCTTTGAGACCTGTCAGGAAGAATACTGTCACAGTGGATTTTAAATTGAGGAGCCTGGGCTTTTCTGGGTAGAAGGTGGTTTTCTGACTCCTTCATTCACTTTTTACAACCACAGAATCATGGATCCTGAAGGAACTTTAAGAGATCACCTGGTCTTCTGGCATAATTATCAGTATTTTGTAGATAAGACTGTTCTAAAGGTCCTTATTTGGACATATCTGTCATAACATGGGACAAATGAGTCCTTTACCTCTATCTGGCTACAGCATGACTTCCAGGTGCATGCAGGTGCTCCAGCAAGTCAAGGGGCAGGACAGTGGAAAGCCAAGTCTCTCAGAACAAGTGTAGATTGTGCAGAGTTTCTAGGCAGAAGGTCCTACAAAGCTCAGATCCAGCAGGCTTGGGGAGTGTGTGGGAATCATACTTTGCTACCCTCCTGAGAACCCTGGGGATGCATTCAACCCTTGGGACTGGCCACAGGGGAAAGTAGATCCCAGGACATAGTGTATTCTTCAGCGATTTCTTTCTTTAGAGGAATATCTCCTTCTGACTCATCTTAAAAACAAAACAAAATACATTAAAGAAGAGCAGGACTACCTCTGCTGACTTTTGCCTGGCCCTGTAAGACTTGAGCTCAATCAGGCAAAGAGGGATTGGGGCTTGGACCAGAAAATAATCAAAGGGGTATTTATGGAAGACAGGAAATATTAAAGCTTCCTAATTCTGGTCTGAGTTGTTAGATTTCTAATGGCCATGTGGGCCCTCAGCAGGGCCTAAGGCGGGTATTTCAATTACCTTTACACCACTGGAGGCTGGTGAACCAGAAAGTGCAACTCAGTAGGCTGTTAATAAAGTGCCTTGTAGAAGATTGTGCATGATTTATCGTATCCAAAACCAGTTTTCTTTGTGGAAGAAAGCTACTTGTGCCTTCCCCCAAAATCACACATACACGCACACTCACTCTCTTTCTCTTTCCTGGCAGGCTCCATGGGTTTCCAAACATTTCGTCACCGTCTCTTCCTGACCTTGGTGTGCAAGGAAAGAGCCGCATGGCCTGTTGGTTCCAGCAAAGCCAAGGGGGCGCCCGCCTGGGTTGGGGGAGGGTGGCGCCCGACTCAGGAGTGGAGGTGAGGTCTGCTGGAAATCCCCAGCCTCGGCCGCGGCCGGAGGTTTAAAGACGCCTTCGTCGTCCTTATTTGGTCGCAGGAAGTGGGCGGCGCTGGGCCTGCTGGCTGAGAGACCGCCCCGAGACAGTGGTGCTGATGAAGTGGTAGAGCTGGTTCCTGCTCCTCGCGGTGGTGCGCGCGCCCGCTGGCCGCTGGGCACTCTGTGCACCCAGCCTTGAGTTGTGCAATCCTTTGTAGCACGCCAGAGTCGTCCTCCTTCGCTGTTGCCTCTCGCCCTCTCTCTCTTTTTTTCAAGCTGTGAGCTCAACCGATGAGTCAGAGCCGTGCAATCCTGACACTGCATCGCAGGACTAGGGGTGACTCGAAGGGAGGGAGAGCACTCCGAGAGGCGGACAGCACGGGTGCGGGGCGTACTGAGGTTTTTTGCGCCGTGAGCAAGCGGGGGTGACAGCCTGCACGTCCCGCCGGGGCCCTGCCAGCAAACTTCCCAGGTTCGGGAGGCGCAGGCTGGCGGAAGCCCCGCGAACGCCGCAGGGAGGTGACGGCGCCTGTTTGTTTTTAAAATCGGTGAGTGCGTGCAGGCTGCTGGAGTCCCGGAGACAACCTAAGGCGCGGCCCGCGGTGGAACGGGGACAGTCGAAGCCGGAGCTCCGGCCAGAGCGGGGTAAG